CTGGCTCCTCTTAGTGCTCCTAATGGCATTTGCAAGAATCCACCGGGCCTAAGTGAAAACAACCAATCAGAACTAAGAAGACAATTGATAGTTGATAGCTGAGTCTCATTTCTAGGCTAATTTCTATTTGATGCCCTGGGAATGAGACTCAACAATCAACTATTTTCAAGCCTCCAACCTAAAGCATCTTTATATCTGTCTTGGCTTTAATTGGTTGTTGTCGGCCAGGCTCGCTGGTTTCTTGAAAATTCATACTTTGCAGTCACGTGGTTACCATGGTTACCTGGCGGGCAAGAAACATATATTTACATATATCCGTCACCTTACACCGCACAAAAAATGAAAGCCTACAAAAGTACGGATAGCTATCTTTTCTTCAAGAGTGGATGGGTTAACAGCGCTGTCGTATGGGAGGTGAAGAACAGGAATATCTTCATAATCAAAGCTAACGGGAGTGTTACTAGTTAGGTAGCTAACGTTACCCGCTAACGTTTGCTAACGTTTGCATGTTTGTAGCTATACACAAAGTGACATCTGCTCCGTCGTGTGATGAAGTCTTCATCCGAATATGTACACCCTGCCTGCCGGTTAATGACAGCTTGATAAGTAACGTTAGTTTAAAAAAACCTTATACTAGACTGTATCATATATGGCTAACAGGATGTCAAACATTGTAGCCTACCTGCTCATCCACTCCACATAGCATCAGACAACAGACAAGAGCAGCTGGGGCAGTGAAATGCCTTTAATCCTGTTAGCAATCTGTTAGGTTGTAACGTTAATGTAGTAGTAATAACTGTACCATAGTAACTGTAAGTAAGTAGACACAGTACAACAGTAACGTGTGTACTGTAACATGTATTCTTCTTCTCATCATATCATATCAAATCACGTACATATGATGTATATATATATATATATATAAATATATATATATATACTTTTGTAAAGTAAAACTGGCGACGTCCTTGATTAGTTTACTGGGTTTCGTTGCTGGAGAACGATGTTCTTGCCCGCCAGCTAGTAGTTGTGACGTCACGTGCAAAGTATGAATACCAGCTGGAGAGTATTTCAGATGAAACAATGATTAAACATGATTTTATTGTAATTTTAAAAACTTTGATTTGAAAGTGGCAGTAACAAGGACTGTCTGCCATACACACACATATGCTTTAAGTGTCACCAATGCATTGACTAAAATGTAACTATAGCCAGGTGCACCAGCTGCTTTTACATTTAAATGTAGCTCAACTATAATGTGGGTGTACTTCACTAATTTAAACCGGGTTGCACGACACAAACTAGTTCTTATATACAGATTATGAGTTACTAAATAATTACACCCAGTAACTAGCAGCTGTAACAGCTGAGGAGCTAATTGAACCTACTGACAAAGAAAAAGTTAGCTGGTTAACATTTAGACTGGACAGATTTAGATTGAGGAGTACAAGGTAACGGGATATATCTGACGGACCTGCTCCCTCTATAGATGAAAACGGCTCATTCTAATGAGGTCTTTTTCTGACTAATATAACCGTATAATCATTTGCCAAAAACAGTCAGTTCCTTAATGCCTTTGACTGAACTGTGATTGACTTATATAATAATGGGTTTTGTGCAATAGACCTTTCTTAATTTTGAGAATTATTTTATGTTTAAAAAATGCATAATCAATTACTATATACACCGATCAGCCATAACATTGTGAGCACTGACAGGTGAAGTGAATAACACTGATTATCTGGTTATCACAATGTTCTGGCTGATTGGTGTATATTACTTTGCATTCATGACACTACATCCAGTTTTTAACATGACGTAGCCTTTCTTTATCTTCAAATTACTCCATGACCCTACACAGGATAGGCAGCCATGTATGAATGGGTGGATGGATGTTTAAATGTTTTTGTTCAGTTTTCAAGATGTATTTTTTACAATGACTGATTCATCTGCCAATATATACTTTACTTTGTCATTTCTTATTTATTATTTGTAGAAAGAGAGTGAGCAAGAACGATAATAAAGATTAACACTCAAAGGAAATTGGTTTTCTCTGTCATTACTTGTCAATCGTTAAACAAAGGCCTTGCCTTGTAAGAAGTGAACAAAACGATTTTATGTTCCATCAACACGAGTCAATTCAATTGTATGACAGAACAGGGCACTTTTCATGTAGAGCAGGTCTACCCATACTCCTTTATAATTATAAACTTTAAGATTAACAGTAACACCCAAATTAAAAACACAGTGAACAAAAGAGCCCCTTTCGGCGTGTCTTTGATCAGCTGTGTTCATATTAGGGGTTATCATTAGGACTGTATATTAGCAAGAATCTGGTGATAAAATACGTATCATGATACAGGGGTTGCGATCTAATATATTGCGATATATTGTGATACTGTAGGCAAAACTGTCATAGTTTAAAGAACCATCATACAGAATGCATCCAATTTGAGTTTATGCAACCAGAACAATGGGATCTGCATTTTAATTTTTTTATTTATCTATGTTTTTGAGAATCATTCACTCAACAAAATATTGCCACACTCAAGTGTATCTGTATTTATAATTGGTTAATTACCAATACTGACTTATCATCAGTACAGGGCCAATTAGTATCAGCCAATTATCACAGACAGCTCCATCTTCTATTCAACATTTAGGTGATTAAAAATATTTCCTCTGACTACAACACTTTTCAGGACGACGTGCACAACTCATGAGACACAAAGGTCTGATCAAAATAACATCATTATAATTATGTTTTTTCACAATTATTCTTTTTCTGTGTGCAATCATGCACATTTGTCAGATTTTTTTTCAGAAAGCATACCTTAAAACATAAATTCAAGCTCAGACAAACAGCAAATCATTCTCTATCTGTCTCGTTCTCTTCTGCTGCAGGAAGCCGCAGAATAATCTGCCTTCAACATGTTTAAAACAACTCAGTGTTCGTGTTCATTTGTGACGCTGGCTGCCGGTCAGGATCACAGTGACATGCAAACTGCAAACTGATCCATACTGCTCTATGGGGGCATCGACCACTGCTTTATAGTGTGTGTGTGTGTGTGTGTGTGTGTGTGTGTGTGTGTGTGTGTGTGTGTGTGTGTGTGTGTGTGTGTGTGTGTATACAGCTCTGCTGAAAGCGTCCTCTCCCTGTGAGACTGATTGAGGCTCACTGAGATCTATGTGTATGTGTTTGGATCCCCACTGAGGTGAGGCTGATTTTCTTTGATAGCACAAAGCACAAATTACTGCAAAACAGAGAGTAAGAGACACTGAGGCAGAGAGGAGAGAGATGTATGAGGTTTTCTATATGTTTACACAACCACAGTGTTCCAGGGCCAACCTCCCAATACGTCTCGCATGATTTTCCAATTTATGAATTCCTATATTTGGCTGCTCAGCCTTCACAGAAGGGCTTAGTTTTTATTACTTTCTGTTTGCCATAAAACACTCTGATCAGTGTGACCATCATAGGACATCTTGCCCCACGCCTGCCTAGACTCTCTTTAGTCCTGACCTTACTGGAGGAGAGCACAAGACATTTTTTACATTTGGGGTTGTTACAAATGTGCTGAGAATAACAAAGGCTTTTTAAAGGATTGCTGTTATTTTCAACCTTGGCTTTGTTTCCTAAGATTTTTTTTTTTTTGCCATTTTGTTGAGTGCCTGTGTTTCATTTCATCAGTGCCTTCAGAATCTTCCTGCTACTTTTGCTGTCCAACACACACTCAGTAAAACTCCAAAAGCATTTAAAAGAGCAGTTTATGAATTTAAAATCAATCATAAAATAAAACACAAAATCCATTTCTCAAAAGAGCCAAGTGTATTACTTTGTTTAGACTGTAGATGTAAGTGATCATTTTGACATTGTGTATTGGCAAGAATCTAGCGATACAATACGCATGCAAGGGTTACAATTCAAAATATATTGCAATACTGTAAGCAAGGCGATATATTGCAATTTTTAATCTAATCTAAGGAAAACTAAATAACTACAATATGCATAACATCTGAGTAAAAAGCTACTTCCTTATGCAATCCAAATAGTGAAATATGCATTTTCATTCATCAGAATGCCTGTAGCATCTGCTGTCTACAGACTGGGGGTTTAAACACAACACAAAATAAACTACCGCCACAAATATTTGCATGTAAACTTTTAACTAAAATAGCTAATGATAGTGTTTTTGATATAATAATATAATTAATATTGCGATACTCAACTATATCAATATTTTTTTACCCGCCTAATTAGCTCCTTTGTTTATTGTTTATGAACAGTTCTGATGGCAGGTATTGTTGCAGCCCTGACATTTTTGATTTTACAGTGAGATATTATTGAGTTTATATTTTTGATTTACAGATATTATACTTTTAACTTTGCTGTTGTAAACTTTACTGTAGCTGCTCAAACCAATATTTAGTTATATTAAATATCTAAATAAATTCTACTCCAGTTCATTTATATATATATATATATATATATATATATATATATATATATATATATGAAATGTGAAAAACTACAACCTCTGTGTGGATTTTTATGATGATGGTCTCAAATTATGGGAAATGCGCAACATCAACAGTTCTTTGGGGAGAAACAGCTGGTAGAAATGTCCCTCACAGAAACTAAGAGAGTACTTTTTACTTTTATACTTTAAGTACATGCCAGAGGCTGTACTTCACCTTTACTTGAGTAAGGAAGTTGAATCAGTACTTTTGCCTTTTCTAGAGTATGTGTACTTTTACTTGAGCAAAGATTGTGTGAACTTTTGCCACCTCTGCTGCAGACCACTGCTGTGAAAAAGAGGTGATTGTGCTCACTGTTTTTGGTAAGATAGCAAGTCTATCTATGGGAGACTGTCAGGACTACCTTACTTTTTATCAGTTGCCAACTGAACTTTCAGCAAAACAAACTTTCTGATCTTTAAAAACTGAGAGGTTGAGTCCAAGAGTTCTGCATCTGAAAACAAAACCACAGTTTCACCTACCTCTCTCCACTCCTTGGTCCCCAGGCCTTGCACATACAACACCACCACTGAGAAGAGAAACAAATATATGTTTTAGAATTACTTCTGCACTTTCAAGGCAATCACACTTCACGAATGCTGATAACTAAATTGCCTGCCCTTCCTTTGATGATCACCTGCTCCTCTTGAAGTTTTCTTATAATATTGAAAATGACTAGTACCTACAATAAAGCTAGGATAGCTATATAATAAACAATTCACAAATGCATAAATATTTAAAAATGCACAATTCTATTTTGTAGGAGACATACGATTCTGTATCCATGGGATATGAATGAGAGTTGTAAAAACAAAAGATTAAAGTTTGATTGTGCCTACAGGCAACAATTTAAATAATAATTGAAATTAAGTTATTGAATGCCTGAGGTATTGAAAAACTATGGAGAACCAACATCAAAGATGTAGCTACAAAACAGATAATACATCCCTTCCAGTGCTTTGTTGCAGGAATGTGACACATTTATTAAAAACAAAATTGTCTATATGAAGAAAATTGTGGACTTGACAGTGAGTGAAACCATTACAAAACCTTAAAGGTGCCCTGAAGTTTAGTGCTGAATGTATTTCCTTCCTCACAAATCATTTGCAAAGCAGATTTTTAGTAGCTGCAAACATATCAGAAAATAAAAAAAATCCTGCTTTCTGGAACTTTCTGCATTTGCCTTCATTAGTTTCTACAGTAAAGTACGACACTACCACTTCATAAAAGCTTGCTCTTCTAAACACTTGATGCATTTTACATTTTTACTTTGTATGAACTCATTTGTGTTAGCATGGGCAGTGCAATCCAACTGACATCCTGCCAAACCTCGGATTTTGTTCACCGACAATTTTGAAATCCTGACTTTCTACAATATCTGTATGGCAAATACAGTATAGTTGAGTTTACAGAAAGATTAGAAAGAGTAACTAGTGTAAGGTATTTGAATTCTACATGAATATGCTTAGTAATAGTAAACTGGTTAAAACCCGGCTATTGCAGTTGAATTTCACTGTTGGCTGATCTGGACACAGGTATATAAGCACGCCACCACCCATCCCAATAAAGGCCAGACTGTGGCCACATAAAGCTTAACGCCTAGAAAAAGCACAGAAAATTTTGTGTTAAAAGGATAAAAAACCAAAGAATTAGAGTTAGCTTTTTTTTTTTTTGTCCAATTAAAGCACTGCATATGGTTACGATTTGCGAGCAGTTCAGGCAAGATGGATGGGTGACATTATCCGAGAAACGAGCCAAACTTCAACCAAGGACCAGATTTTGGGGTGAATCTCCAAAACGTCTGCAGTTGATGGCCGTGATTTGTGACAGAAGGGTACCATCAAGAGTGAAAGGGAAGGTTCACAAGATGGTAGTGCGACCAACAATCTTTGCAGTGGGACTGATGAAAAGACAGGAGGTGAAGCCGGAGGAGGCAGAGTTGAAGACCATCGTTGGGAGGACGGATAGGATTAGAAGTAAGTACATTAGAGGGACAGCCTAAGTTAGACAGTTCAAAGACAAAGCGAGGGAGGAGAGATTGGATGTGTGCGGAGGAGAGAAGAGTATATTGGGAGGATGCTGAAGATGCCAGGAAAGAGGGAGGCCGAAGAGGAGGTTTATAGATGAGGCGAGGGAGGACATGCAGGCGCGACAGAGGAAGACGCAGGGGACCGAAAGAGATTGAAGCAAATGACCTGCTGTGGCAAACCCTGACAGGAGCAGCTGACAACAAGAGGGAGATATAGGAAACAGCAGTATATAGTATATAAACTTACTGACATAGAAATTTCATCAGTAGAAAATATATACTGAATGACTGATTTTTTTTTAAGGCAGTTTTAAGATTAGATTCAACTTTATTGTCATTGCACAAAGTACTAAGACAACAACTGCAGTTCTATGCACAAACAGTTCTTAGCACCATCCGACTAAATTACACAAAACAAGGAATGCAACTTTAAAAAGAGAGGTTATAAAGCATGCAGGAGCAGCATGTTGGGACCATACAGCACACACACACGCACACACACACACAAACGCACGCAGTTAGGAGCTTTCAGCATCGGGCTGGCTGCTGTGTTTGAGCTGACAGCTCAGTTGGCTCCAAACACTCAGGGACTCTTCAGGCTTCAAGTTTAAAAGCAGTGCATCACTTCCATTAAAAACTGCTCCTCTTCCTCCTCCTGCTGCCACCCTCCTACTGCTCCTGGTCTAAACTTAGTTTTAGGAAGGAGAACAGTGAGAATATGGTGCAGTCTGTACAGTGGGAATCTATCAGATCTGTCTTGAAACAGATCAAACGAGACCGACAGAAAATGGCATACAGTGGCTCTCTCCTTCTGTCCACTATCCTCCACCTGTTCTCCTCTCCTTCTACTCTTCTACCACTCCTTGCAATCTACTCCTTTTCATCCTCTTTATCCTACCTTTCCTCCTCCTCCTTTATCTGCCCTTGTCTTATCTCCCTCCATTCATTGCTCCACTCATCTCCTACTCACCTGATATGTCTATCCTGCACCACACCTCTTTTCCCCTCTCTTCTCTTCCTCTCTCCTCGCCTCCCCCTCTTCTCTTCCTCTCATCCTTCTCCTCCTTCTCTCCTCTCCTTCCACTCCTCCACTTACTTTTTCTCCTCCTCTCCTATCTGTTCCCCTGAACATTCTCATTCTCCCCTCTCTTCTCTTCCTCCCCATCAAAGCAGAGCATGGTAATGGCAGGCAGTGCAGAGAACGCATTTCTGCATCAGCAGGATAGAAGGTCAGTTGACCACGATTACCCAGCCACTGCAGGGACCCGAACACCCCAATTCTCTCTGCTCTCCTCTTCAAATGAGGAACTTTTCCACTCACTTCTTTTCCAGGAAAAAACAGGGTCAAGCTAAATTAATAAATACCGAAACAGAGAGAAAGAAGCAAGAGGGCGAGAGTTTAGGGACGGTTGGCTAACTGATTCCATTTGGTAGAAAGAGAGTGAGTGAAGCATTTATGGATACTGACCAGGCTGTGTGTGTGTGTGTGTGTGTGTGTGTGTGTGTGTGTGTGTGTGTGTGTGTGTGTGTGTGTGTGTGTGTGTGTGTAGGTGTGTCTGATGTATGTTGTCAATGAATGTTACATGTTGGCACTGTGGGGAAGTTTGAGGAATATTAGCCTATATAAAGTGACATCAGGCCTCTCTGTAGTCATGGCTGTTCAAGAGAATCAGAGGGTATAGAACATGGATGGACAGAGTTATTAATATGGATTATCTCTGTTTAATAGAGCACATTTTTAGTGATATCTTGTTGAAAGATTAGTTGTAATTAAAGCTGCAGTAGGTAACTTTTATAAAAAATAACAGTAGTACATGAGACAGAAAATCTGTGAAACAATCAGGTTCCTCTGGCTCCTCCTAGAGCTCCTAATGGTATTTGCAAGAATCCACCGGGCCTGAATGAAAACAACCAATCAGAGACAAGAAAGATAGTTGATTGTTGAGTCTCATTCCCAGCGTCCCAGCAGTGTATTTGATGCCCTGGGACTGAGACACAACAATAAACAATAATACAATCTTTCTCTCTTAGATCCTCCTAAATGTTACACACTGGAGCTTTAGTTAATTGTAACTGTCTGAAAATGGGAATATGGTAAGCACAATATCAACTGAAATTAAATTTAAGGTGGGTCATACTTTATTACCTAATCCTGGTTTTGAAGAGTGTGTCAAAACAGTGTGGCTAAACATTATTCTATAAAGAAAATGGTCTACAACCTCCACGGGATAACAGTGCGACTTAACATTTGAAATTTGGAGAAAGATGGAAATTTGAAAATAAAAAGATGGCAAAATGGCTTAATGCGACTAGTTTTGTTTGTGCATTTTGGTTGCTTGAGGTTGCTAATTGTACTTTTAAATATGCAAATAATAGGACAGGCTGGACTGCCCTTAGAGACCTTTTATACTCCAAAGGCTGGAATTCTTCTCTTCTTTTTTGCGTTCAGTGGGATTCAGTTATATTCACATAAAAGACCAGAAAGGCCAGTTAATTTGAGGAGAGAAAAGACCAGCAAGTGCCAAGTGAAGGAGGTAAATGTAATGGTTTTTAAAAAAAAATCTAATAGCACCAATTTGAATGCAGAAACCAAACTCATGGAGGAGAATTCTTAAAAGCTGAGATTCTATATTTCTGTGCTAAACTTCAAAGCAGCAGTCAATTGATGGTGGTTTGGGACTTTTTAGCGTGGAAGCAAAGATTTGTGTGATGGATTATCGATGTGAGAAGGAACCCCTCAACGGGGAGCTCTGCCTGGTCAGCGCTGCCCGCCTAAAGGATGTGAGCGGATGATAGCTGGAATCAGAAATCTAATCTCACAGGCATTTCCACAGAGATGCAGGCCAAGCTGCACTCAGCCAGCAGAGACTGTAAACACAGGCATCCACACTCGCTGCACGGACAGTTTAGGAGGAAGCTTTTCTCAGAGAAAGAGGGGCCTGGTCAACTATCAGGGTATCCTCTGGGTCACTATTAAACAGGATGTGTATGCAACAGTCATCATTTCTTCTTCCTTGTCTATAAAGGAGGGAAAGTGCAACTCGGCCCACTTCGAAATGAGAGCTAATGTGAACTTGTTTGTGACCTCTATTAAACTAGAGAGAGTGAATATAGACTTCCAATATAAAGCTGCCAGTCAAGCTGATTTGAATACAAAGTCAAAGAGAGCGAGCCTGAAATTGTGATTTCACTTCATTATTCAGTCTGATATCATGTTAGCCATTTTCCATTTGAGAGGGGTTGTTATTTTGGCTTTAATCACAGAAAACGGAATTCCCGGTATTAAACCCATCCAAACCATTTGTGCTGTGTGTACTCTAAAAACAAATGTTTTGGATTAACACAAATAAATGAACACAACAGTTTGCATCAGTCTTTTTGAGTTATGGCAACTTCTAATGAAATTATGTTCAGCAAAGGTGCTACATTGAGTTAGGGGAATTACCTTTTCCTCTACAATCAAATGTTTTTAATTACAACTTACTTAATGATTGGTAGCA